AGAGGAGGCAAAAGTTTGCCAGCTGTTAATTAATTAGCCTGACAAACGTTAACCGACGGCTGCCCGTCCCATCGAATCCGCCGTAAGGGTGACGTGCGGCCGGCCATTTTATCCCAGAATTAATCCTAAAAGTTGCGCATAGCAGATCCCTTCGTCCCCTCTCCCATTCACCGCGTTCCATCTTCGTTTCCCATCTTTTCCTCCCCGCGATGCCGATTCCACTCTCTCTCCCCAATTAGCGGCCATAAATTCCCATGCGTGTGAAACATAAATTCGCGCGGACGCTGCTCGCTCTCTTATTTCGCCTTCTTCTTTCCACATCTTCCACCTTCCTCCTTTTTTCCAAAGTAATTCTCGAGATCGTCTCTCCCGATCCGCAATCCTTTTTATCGAAACCATGCGTCTTCCGCGAGAGACACGCGATATATCGGGAGATTCCTGGGAATCCCATCAAAGCCGCCGCAAAAGAAGTTTTCCGCCGATTCGAGCACGTTCTCGCGAAACCTAATTTTTATTCGTCGCTTATCGGGAAGCAAAATATCAAACGTCGCGTCGAAAATAGCGGACGAGTGAAAATCAGAACAATCCATCCGGTATCTTTATCGTTAGCGCGAGCACGTGAATTTCGTAAAGTAATTATGCCATAGAATAATATTTCGTCTTTTTCGTAATAAACTGCTCGGATTGAAGATAAATCTCTCGACTTCTGAAAGATTTCATGTTATTTTCCATGTTATATTTCGTCGCTCCCGAGAATGTAGCATAAATTAATAACGAAGTTACAGTGGTTACATCATCTTATTTTAGCTGCGAGTCACACATCTGGATGACCAAGCCGCGTGAATTTATATCAAAATGAGCAGTCCTATATGTATACGTTTCTAAATATTTACTCATGTATATATATGCAACTCGTGTATATTAACCAGTTCTCCTAATTAAAATTACAATATTACGCTCATATTAGAATTATGGCATACTCTGACTGAACCGTGTGCAAATTTTAAATTTCCATTATTCTTGCGGAAAATTAATTATATTTTGCAGAATTCGCGTTGTGTAAATAAGACTTATATAAATTAGAGAATTATGCATATTAAATTACGCGCAATAATTATGAATGCAAATGAATGTATATTAAATGAATAAAATAATATTTTATTTTTCATATTTCACTGACATTACTGCAACGTACGTGCACTGTATATAACTTTTTTCTCTGTATTTTTTGCTAAAACTGTGTC